TGTTCAGGAAACATATTACAGTAAAAGGGAGATAACAAAGGAGTTGGATTTTCTTGCCGCAAATTACTTTCCGAGTTAATTTCCTTTAACGATGATTCCAGATTCGCCAGTTTCCATAGCATGGTGTGTCTTACAACTGAGCCTTTGATGGGAAGAAGAACACGTATTTTCCCATGTTCACTCCTTTTGTGGCAGTGACATGGACTTTCTTACAGGACCTTTGCTAACGGAATGCAAAGCAACATGAAATTGTTCCGGCCTAGAACTGTGTGCTATTGTTGGAGTCCCCAGCCCCCAGTCTATAGTGCAAACTCCAAACTCTCTGGGAGTGTTTTTTTGGTCATACAATTGAAAGAAAAAGATATCTTAATTTTCCATAGTTATTTTATGAGTTAGAAATTGAGTGCTGAGTCCTCATATGCTTTGGAAGGGATTTATGGCCTTTGGTCCTTTTTTCCCCTTTGTGTGTACTGGGGAAGGAACATGCCGATCTGAGGGAAGGACAGCTGTGATGTCTGATCCCTAGACTGCAAGCCTCTCAGGGGCAGAAGTTTTCACGCCCTGCCCACTGTTTTCAAGCATATGAAGCAATGCCTATGGTACCAAAGGGACTCTTGGATTCTGCACTGCCCCCATGAAATTCAGCCTCTCTGCCTTCAACTGTAGGCTGGACACATGGGTAGACGTTTTGATAACACCTCCTGCAAAGTCCTGTCGAACAGGTCGTACACTCAGCCCCATCATCTCCCAGGCAGAGGAGCCTAGAAATTTGGATAGGATTTTTTTTCCCCCATAGTCTTCTCTTTCCAGCAATGCAACCCTGAGCAGATTGTCTCTGGTGGATGGCAGAAGTTCAATAACCACAGCCCTCTCCAACTGCTAATGTGTACAGAAGAGCAGGTCATCAAGAGGGCTGGCTACCGAAGTAACCCCTTTCTTCCAATAGCCCACATTACTATAATGATGCCTTAATAGCAAACCATTTATTAAGAAATGACACAGAGTACATTCGACTCATGACAGGAATGAGGGGGAAGGGAAGATGCATGACTTAGAAAAACATCTGAAGGCTCAATTTCCAAAGTTAACCTTCTGAGAAAAACTCCTTGGTGAACAAGATACTTAGGCTAGAGTAATTGCACGCTTTCTTAAGAAACAGGGGCCTCTTCCTCTATGTCTATGCATATTTATAGAATACACTTTCATTTTTACTCCAAGTCGAGGGAGGTGGATGGGGATGATAATTATTTCCTTAATTCAAAGTGTACTTATTGATCTTCAACCGTCTACACAAAGGGGAGTGAGCTGTTTCGGGGTGCAGAGGCAGTTCTGGGATATGGATGACTTCAGGTCAGGTGGTGTGATCTGTCTTCATGACTTGGGGAAGTTGGTCCATCTCTTTGTGCCTTGGTTCTTTCTTAGTGGTGCTCTGAGGATTAAGTGGGAGGACAGGCTTAAAGATCTTAGCCTAGCACCTGGCCCATGACAAACCACGTAAGAGTGTGATGATGATGATGATGATGGTGATGATGATGGTGATGATGATGATGATGATGATGATGATGATGATGATGATGATGATGATGATGCTGGATGTCAGTTTTGCAAGGTTGTCATCATTATTTTGATACATAGCATTAGTACTTCCTAGATACATGGTGTGCTATGGTCTCCAAAAGCCTCCCCACCGTTTCTCTCTGGTGTTCTGTCTTCATTACTCCTCAGAGGCTCTGCCTGTTTTCCAGATGGGAGGCTCGGAGAATGCTATGCCTGTTAGAGGGACATTGCAACAGGAAGCCAGCACGTAGGTGTGGGGCACTCTCCTTGCTGGTTACAAGGTGACCCTATGTAGGGTATGGGCTGCATGCATGTACAGTGACGTGAACATGTGTGAGCAAGGACCTCGTATGGAAGGCACAGTTTGGGTCTCTGCATTGTTAGGCTTAGTTAACCCAGGTTCAGAAGCTCATTCTCATTTTATATTCTGGAATGCTTTAAAATTTTAGATGTGCATGTTTGCCAGTCTCTGAAATCACTCACAATGATGCCATTGAGCACTTTGGATCAGGCTCTCTGGGGCCTTTGCTGCAGCCCCCATTCCTGCGAACTACATGGGACATAGGAGGTCAATATAAGGTCCATTAAGGAACATGTATGTGGGATGAGATATTTTTTAAATCTGTGTAGAGGTAGTGCACTATATTTACATAGGCATGTTTCTTCCTTCACATATTCTGGCTCCCTTGATATTGTAAAAAGGCAACAGAGGAAGAAGATATTTTCCTAGGGCAGATTGCACAGCACATGAAGTGTTCAGCATCCACCACTGTGTAGCTCGGCCTCAGAGTTCGCCCACTCCTTCCGGGTCCTGCCTCACCACTCCTCCTTACCACAGTGGGCTGCTCCCATGCTCAGGGCTGAGGAAGCTTTTCCACCGAGCCAGAGTCTCGACTCCACTCTGACATTTGTGAAGAAAACCTAAGTTCGGATTCTTGATCCTGACAGGCCTGTTTATTCTCTCTGGTTACCAAGGCTGGAGGCGCCAGGAGGCCCCAGGAGGCCCCAGGAGGCCCCAGGAGGCCCCAGGAGGCCCCAGGAGGCCCCAGGGACAGGAGAATCTGCCGTAGTATTATGTGCAGGCAGCTCTGGTCATGAGGAGTGGCATGGGACATCTTGCATAATAGCCCATTTCATACATAAACTATTGTGGAATAGAAGATGAAATTATGCAAATAAGTTGAATAAAAAGCAAATGATAGAATGGGTAGCAGCATCATTGAGTGGAAATAGGTTTACAGTAGTGTCAGGATGAGCTAAAGGCCCCTCTTTATTAAAGCCTGCCATTGAGACAGGTGCTCAATTTTCAGTTTTCCCTATCTTAGTAAAGGATTGTTTTTACATGACAGCTACGCTTGAGATTTAGTCGGTGCTATTAGTCAACTCAATGTATAGTTTTAGAACTCGCTCTGTTCCTTCATATTTTCAGACTCCATAGTTACTTAAGGTACTACACAGTTCATCCTGCCTCCCCAGCAACCATCCTGAGAAGCCCTCGTTCCTGTTACAAGGAGCTGCCAATAGGACCCAGAGAGTCCTGATTGGTGTTACTGATACCTGGCTCCTCCTGGCCATCCTTGGATGTCATCTCACCTCATCTTCTTGTTTAAATGACATCACTGCCTCATGTTTTACTAACTCAGTTCTTCAACCACCCCTTCCTTCCCATGCTGCTCTTGAGTGAGAGGTATTTCTAGATTATAAATGCAAAACCGATGGTATCGCCAAAGGCTGCTGGCCCCTCTTTGTCTAGTGATTAAAACTCAGTACATATATGACCAGTGTTTATTGATTGCCTCCGGCTGCCAGGGGCGATGCATAGACACTGGCAATCTCACTGCAAAGGTTTCTACTCCCAGAGATGCTAAAGACATTGATGGTTCACAAACTTGTGAGGCTCCAGACTCAAATCTGTACTCCTGAAGAAAATACCAGATCCTTCATGACCCAACCTCAGCCATCCACTGTGACTCTACCTTAGCCACTGTTTTTGTCACTCTGTGTCCTGTGACACAAAGCTGTCAGAAACCCAGTCAACATTTTCTCTTCCCTTATCTTCAGGCTCTCCACCCTACCCAGAATTCCTCCTTTCCTCCCAGTTGCCTGTGCCCCTCCTGTCCTTTCAGCACCCAGATACATTTTCTCAGGCCCTTTTACTGCCTTGAGCCTCTTCTTCCCAAGCTGGGTTCAACACCCACTTCTGATACCAGTTTCAGGATTACTGTCTAAAGGCTTCTCAGATATCTCTACCTTAATCTGCCAGGTTCCCCTGTAGTGTGTTCATGAGTGATGTCTCTGATCTACCTGTCTTCTTTTCTCAGCAGTTATTAGTGATAACAGTGCTCCATAATCATTTCTTGAGTAAAGTCTGGGCTCGTGGTGTTCCAAATTATCTTTTCTCCTAATAGATATTAATGCATTGAATGTATTTCTCTACGCTGGTGGACTTACTATGTATAATACATATTATATTTTAAGTACATCTACTGTACTTCTTTTACATAATATTTCAAAAAGACTTCTTGAACCGTTAGTCTCAACGTGGAATTTACAGTTTTAAAAAAAGATTGGTAGGTGTGACTAATTTCATTCAAAAAGTACTTGTTAAGCTCCTGTAGGCAAGACATCTAGAAGCAGGAATATATAAAAATACAGGTAATCGTGTCTCCAAAATGATCCATTATAAAGATAATAGATCAAATCAATTGAATCAGAAGTTTTCAAAATCTGCTATGAAGTATGGGTAGCAAATACTTCAGCTTCACAGGCCACGCAATCCCATCATCGCTGCAGTTCTTCCTGTCATGCAGCATGCCATGCAAGGGTATGCAAGAACCCTTCTTTGTAAAAACATAACTCATATACACAAACATACCAGAAAAAAAAATCAAAATCCCACCAAACCAACAAACAGAACAACAGCCCTCCAGATGCAGATGTGTGCAGGAAGCTCGTGTCCTCCAAAGACAAGAGAGTGCGCACAGTTCCCATCGCAGGAAACGGGAAATGGGGGCCTAGATGGACGGATTCACTCTCATTATAATTCAGATGGAATTCCAAAATACAGATAAGGAGACACTGTTGGGATCAAAGGAAGAAAACCTAGAGAAAATTTGAGGCAGTCATTTTTGAAAAAAAAAATTAAGACTAAAATATGAGAGGTATTTTCATTTAAAACATCAGGAATGCCGCGAGCTTGGTGACAGTTTGCTGTGACGGAAAGGAAAAGATAAAGGGTGCCTCGGGAAGAATGCGCCTTTCTGGTGTAGACCATCTTTACTGTCAGTGTGCCTTTGATGTCACAGTTTATTCGGGTCTATGCCGGATAAGCTCTGCAGATAAATGCCAGCAGAAAATGTGCTCCACACTACGCTAACATCAGTTCCCGTTGATCTGGAATCCATAGGACTTAACTTACGGTTTGTTTGCTTTCCTCTCTCTAGCACCAATCGCTGCAGGAACTGGCCCCAACTTCTCTCTCTCTGATTTGGAAAGTTCCTCATACTACAGCATGAGTCCAGGAGCAATGAGGAGGTCTCTACCCAGCACATCCTCGACCAGGTAAGTGAATTGGTGGCCTTCCAAGAGGCTAAAACACAGAAAAGCACACCTTGATTTTGAACTCTGAGCGTGCTGGATATTTAGCAATGTGTCTATAACAATAGAGGGTACAAAAGGAGTGGGTTAAGCCTCAATAGGCTATCTCATTAGAGAGCCAAAGCAAATATACATGAGACAAACACACACACACACACACACACACACACATATGCACGCATGCACGCTCACATGCACACCAACAAGAAAACCAATTACTTGAGGTGTATCCCATAAAATAAGCATGATTTGAATAGGTGTTGTCCAAAATGGTGAGAGGCTCCACTCTGAATGCTTTAAGGCAAGGCAGGAAAGGCACGGTGATGAGGGATAGTTTGAGCAAAGACATGGAGAATAGCGATAATGAATACAGCATGTTCTCTGGGAAAGATGGCTGGGCTTGGCTGGGGAAAAGGAGCTGAGTGCTCTGGCTTGATTGGAATATGGTGGGAACTGAGGACACCGGCCTAAGCACCCTGGCCACAACCTTCTTGGCCTGCTGGGCCCCATAAGTCCCCACATCCAAGTCTGCTGAAGTTCCCCAAAGATGCATCTGATTTCGTATCCTGGTATGAGGTTATAAAAGAAATACAGGTCAGAGAGCAGGATGTGGCCATACTTTGGACCCAGGTGGCCCCAGGAGGCCTGCAAAAGCCAAAGTTGGGAAGCACAGCTTATTGTGAGTGCCAGACTTCCTTGATACCCTTAGTTAACTATCAGAGCCAACATCTGGAGAAGCACTTTGCAAGACCCTGCTGTCTCTAGATAACCTGTATCGCGGGCAGGGGATTAGGCCTCAGAGCCATGGCGTTCCTAACAAATTGGCTTTAGCACTGGACTGTGACAGCAAAGAAAGGCAGAGTAGGGCTGCCAATCATGTTGGTGGCTTTGCAGAAAAACATTTATCAAATGTGATTTCTGTTAGACATTTATGATTTAAAATAATGCCCAGAGTGTGGATGTTTTCCTTGGTGTGGGAATCTACCGTACCTTTATGAACAGTGTCTTGAGCATCAACTTGAAGATGAATCAAGCTGTCGTTTTTAACACTGTATTATATCTTCAGCGTTGTTTAAATGTCCTCCTCGGTTCATTACGGTATCACCTCCACAAGAAAACAAAAAGTCTCAAGTCCCAAACGCATTTATAATAGAAAAGGGGGATTGAGAATACATTTGGGTGTTAATACACTTGGAGGATTTTTAATATTTGCTGCCAGAAGAGACAGTGCACTCAGTCAACAATAAAAGCTTTGTAAATGCTTACTGGTGGTGCTTAATTTAAAAGTGCATGGGTGACTTGTTTCTCATATGTGAGCCCCTGTCCCATGGACCTCTCTCGCAGTGTCCCTTTCCTCCTGTCCTTCCACACACTCCAAGTTCTGTTCTACGATTTCACGCGGTGACTTGTGGGTGGAAGGATGATTATTGTCATAGACGAGGCTCATTCTCCTATTCTGAAAATAACTAGTCCTGATAAGGAGTTAATTGTAAATTTCAGTAGGTAACAACTTAGTAATGTTTGATTTTCTCTTGTTGTTCTCTTCCTAGGGTGTTTTTATTTATTTTATTAGTGTGTAGGTGTGTGTGAAAGAGAGAGAAAGAAATAGAGAGACAGGGAATGTATGCCGATGTGCTTGCAATGTGTAGACTAGAAGCTAAAGGACAAATTTTTGGGAGTCAGTTCCTCCTTTCACCTTTACGTGAGTTTCTCAGAGGGAATTTGAGTTATCTGGCTTTCCCAGCAAGCACCTTACCTGTTGAGGCATCTCACTGCCCACCCTAAAGTTATGGAAAAGAAAAAAAAAAGTCCTTGAATATACAGACTCAACAGAATTACCTGTATCATGTTAGAAAATATGCCTTAAAGAATGCCCCAGAATCACATACCAAAAAAATGTTTGTCTCCAGCAGACAATTTTGCCATTGCAGCCATGGAGCCTCCGGAAAGCAGAGTAGTTCAGCAACATGCCAGGGCCACAGCCCTGGTAGAGACAGGCCAGCGTTCAAGTCTGAGTCTTCTGCAATTTGCAAACCATAGTTATTTGCAGTGAATTGTCTTAGCAACAATGGTGTATCCAGGAACCATCGAATGTGGGGTCCCAGCCAAGCAGTTATCTCAAGTCTCCACCTCACCCTGGTCCGTGTGGCTGCTGTCTGAGTGTGATTACTTTATGAGTGGCATAAGCTTGTCTTTCCTGCCAGTCTGCTTCTCTGCCCCTTGAAGGACAGTGTCTCTTTTCCACCTCAGAAGCAACAATAAGCACAAAGTATTTTTACTTGGCACTATGGGCACCAAAGCAAATCCGAGGGGCGCTACACTGACAAGCAGAGATGTTCAGATTGGTTGATGTGAACACTCAGTAAGGGGAATGGTTTTTCCTTGCGGGTACAAATCAAGGTATGTCTCATATATTAGGAAGGGTGCAGTAGAATCTTTGTATTAGACAGTCGGGATCAAGAGACAGAATCACGGACCAGTTCATTTATAAAAATGAAGAAGTAAGTAAACAAAATAAGCATGAACTGTGTTTCCCATGTGTTGTATATTGCAGCAGGTTGGGTATCTCCAAAGTCAGAGAAAAGTTGGGTAAAAGCAGGAATAAGGTTTTTATTCTAAAGAACTTTGCCACGACAGTCATCCATGTGCAGGACACAGGATCAGTAACTGTGCCTTGGAAGCCCCCTGCCTATCCTTCCTAGCACTGCCAACTTTCCTTCCTCCTGGCTCCTGTTCTCCGTCTCTCCGCACGTCCATCTTGCAGATGCTGAACCTGTGTCCATCCTGAATGTCCTCGTACGCAAGCTCAGGTGTCAGCTGGAACCATACGGTATCCCCCACCCGTGCAGTTCACACCTGAATTGTACTAGCACACTCCCAAGAGAAACCAAAGCTTTCAAACTCAGAAATCCGTTAACAAGGAGAGAGCAGCACACAGTGGGATTGACCTCTGGGGTTGGATCTCTTTGAATAGAGATGCTTGGCTGATCCCTCCTCACAGAAGCTTTGGAGTACTTAAAATAATCTGACCGGAATAGACACAAGAGATCAAGAAATGATTCTGAGAAAAAGGTGGAGAATTCTTGGGTTGTCAGCCAGGATACAGTGGATGTCACTTGTACTTATTCCTAAGACCTCAAAGTTCTGCCAGTCAGTTTCTCTAAAAGTCTTAGTGTTGGGGGTCGAATCCAGAGCCAGATAAATGGTGGCAGTCCTGATACAAATGTAAAGTGAGGAAAGGAGTCTGGGGAAGGGTGATTCGGGCACGAGAGGTACAGAAATCTCCTGGGAACTGAATCTGCTACTCCCTGAGTCATGTCAGCCTGTATCTGTGTCCCCTGGGTGCAGCTGGCAACGTCCTTCAGTAAGCACCTCACGTCTATACCCGGACATCACAAATGCCATTGTAAAACATGTAGTCGGTTGTGTAGGGTGCACTTGTGCGGGATCCAATTAGTCCTGTTGGTCATCCGCATACATAAAACTCCGTGTAGTAATGTAAGAATCATGGAGTATCAAGACAGCACAGCTCCCATGGGTGGGGGGTGGGGGAATCCTAACTGTATCCCCACTGCTCTTGAAGTCTTGCACAGACAAACCTGGTATCTGACTGACTGGAGTATACCAGAGGTTTTCACCCAACTTACAGTCTTCTAAGTTGCAAGATGATTTCAAGTGGCTGACAGTTTTAAAACACAAGTATTACTAAGTGTAGAGAAAGAAGCCAGAACCCATATGGAAAGCAGGGCACTCCTTATTAGATCCAGGAACCTTGACCAAGAGATTTGTTTTAAATTTGGCCCCTAACTACCTGCTTGCAAGGCAATAAGGGAAAACCATTGGTCAGATCATTTGTATTTTCCACTAAAAGAGACACTAGGGGTTTCTGCTTTTTATATATTGAAATTAGTTTTCTGTACGTAGTATGTATAATTGCAAATAAAGGACATGCTGTCGTTATATCTTACATAAAGCAGAAAAGATTTTCAAGTGGTTACTTTTCACCAAACTTCCAGAAAAAGGAAGACCATTGACCAGGCAGTTCAGACCTGACCTGGAGCCCTAAATTAGCATGGTACCGGAGGATTGCTTCCCTGCAATCTGGTTTTTAATGAGAATAGAACTTAAAACCTAAGAATATTGGACCTCCCACATGAATGATTTGAATTTCTTACCTAAATTGTGTCCTGCGCATTTTAAAATTCAGACTGTGGCAGTAACATCTCCTTACCCAGGTTATAAGCCCTCTTTTCCCTGCTGCCATTCCAAGTCCGTTTTCTGCACTCCCCAGCCACTTCTCCACAATGTAGCTCCCATGTCACACCTATAGAGGACTTCAGAAGTCTTGGTTGCTTGTAGGATAAAGTCCTGACTTGCAGTATCCTCTCTGCCCTCCACGTTCTTCTTCTGTTGGACACCTCCATTGGTTTATTGGGTTCAGTATCTCAGAAGCAATTTTGTGTGTATCTCACCTGGCTTATGCCCCTGCTGCCAGGCACCCGCTCTTGGGATGTTACTCAGTGTCTGGTGACCTTTAGCCATGAGCTCAGCAGTGAGGATGGATGCTGACCTGCCATTCTAGGTTCTGCTGTGACCCCAGGGGCCAGACATTAACCGCTTAGATTTTTGAGGCATGGAAGTGTCATGGGGCAAAGAAAAAGGTCAAGATTTGGAAAAAAAAAAAAAAAACTTGGGAAACTTGAGACAATGGCAGTTTACCGAAAAAATACTGAAGGTTTTTAATGTTTTTAAAATCATACAGTGCCTGAGTTGTGCATTAGTGGAGTCTAGCCTACTCTAGCCACTTCCTGTTTCTATTGCCATCTCATTAGCCCTTACACACAGCTCAGGCCCCTCTGCCCTGAGGAGTCCTTCCTAAGCTCCGGGTGTAAGTACCGGCGCTCCTCCATCCACAGCCAATGCATGGTTCCTTTGTGACCCCTCTGTTTTCCCCGGGCCTCTCCATCTCTGTTCTTGGAGAGCCATGTCTGGCTCACCACACTGTTCCACGTCTGAGTGCTGCCCCCGGCGTGGAGGAGCTACACAGCCAGTGACTGTTGACCGAAACCCAGAGCGAGTTCTTCCTCCTGACACGTGGGCAGGAGGCTTCCCACAGCCATTGCCCAGAGTTGGAGACCTGCGCGCAGCAGCGTGTTGCTGGCCCTCTCGGTCTGCTCACCAGACATCAGCAGCAGGCGATGTGCCCCTGCTTTCCAACCCTCACGCTTCACAGCGGGGAGGTTCTTCAGTTGCTCTTCAGCTCGAAGAAAAGAAATAAATTGCAAAAGTTCCTTAGTCATACCTCTACAGAAACTAAGTCTTCCTTCACACAAATGAAATGAAATGTCGTTTTTCTCATCTCTGTGTAGAAGGACATAAAAGTCCCTAGACCACTGTATGTCTTTGCTCTTCCTTATCTCCTGGCAAAGCACTCACTCCTTCCTGCTATTTTGAGCCATTCTGTTTGGCATTTTATCTCTAGTGCCTAAAGGAGTATCCGGACTATATGATGTGTAGTAAATATCTCTTTTTTAATGAACAAATCCAAGTGGAAGATGAAAAATGCCCCAGAAGCTATCAAAGCATCCCTAGAAGGATAATGAGCCCTGCTTTTTATTTACTTATTTTTAACCTTTAGGGGGCTTGTGCACAGATTTGAATAAGTTTCTAGGCATGCTGCTAATGACCACACCTGAGCCACACCTGTGGAGCTAGGATAGTTGGGCTTCCTAAGTGGAAGCCAGAGCAGAAGCCAGCCACCAACTCCACAAAGAAAAAAAGGCACCAAACGGAGGGGGCGCAACAACTTGATCAATAAAGATGAAACCAGGCCTTGGACACATAGGCCACGATTGCGTACCACGTCCAGTTGCACAACTCCACAAGAGCCTGCAGAGGGTCCAAGAACTGCACGTTTTTCCAGTGAGGTGTCCAGGAGAAAGGTGGCTTAGGCTTTTCTCTTTTTTCTTTCAGCTCTACCAAGCGCCTCAAGTCTGTGGAGGATGAAATGGACAGTCCTGGTGAAGAACCATTTTACACCGGCCAAGGGCGCTCCCCGGGGAGTGGCAGTCAGTCCAGTGGATGGCACGAAGTCGAGCCAGGTGAGCAGGGGACGGTCATGGGCGGGAAGGAAACAGCGTGCGCACGTGGTCCTAGCCTCACATGCACAGTGGCAGAGGACAGAAGATACAGCCGGAGTGCAAGGCAGAGGAGAGTGTGTGTCGTCTCGCTCACGGCTGTCTCCTGCACTTGGAGGCCACATGTGTTTCATTTTGCTTTGCTCACTGTTGAGCTGAGGTCACTCACTGTGTAACCCACAGGGGACTCAAGTTCCAGGCTCTATTGTTCCTCTTGCCTCAGTTTCTTGAGTAGCCAGGGTGGCGGTTTTCTTTTGCTGTTATACATACACACCTTTTGTTTTGTTTTGTTTTTTAAGTATGCTCTAGTATTTATAAGGAAAATTACCAAATTTTCCAGCTCTATGGATAGCGGTATAAAGCAGATCAAGTCTCCTATGCTGCAGATTACGTTGGATTTTTATAACCTACGAACATTTGGATTCTTTTTTTCCTTATTGTTGGTGATCATCATGATTGTTTAAACACCACAGCTACCTTTATGTCTATCTGCACGGACCTGAGTGCATTCCTGTTGGTCTAACCGTGGGGGTCATCAGTGGTGGCTGTAGAATCTCAGAGCAATTATGATATCAGCAGCTTCTGGAGACCTTAATGTCTGCCCTCCACGTGTCTTAGGGGAATGGGCTCCAACGCCTTCGTCAATACAAGTCAAACCTTAACATCTGACCTCCATATGGCTTGGGGAATGAGCTCCAATGCCTTTGTCAATACAAGTCAGATGGGTAAAAGATAAAGGGGTTTGGGAATCATCTAAAGTGCAGTCTTCGCTTCAGTGACAAGACTGTGTCGTTATAGCCAGACGGCACGGCCTTCCTGTCAAACCCAACCTGACCATAGTAAGAGCTCCTTCAGTGCTCTTGAGGATAAAGTAAGGTGATCTGTATTGCCCACTTAAGAATTATACCCAGCACATAGGGATACAGAGAAAAAAAGAACAAATTCTCGGGCCATCCCTCCTCACTCCAGTCTCAAATAACTGCCTGCAAGAACAGACGGGCAAGAAAATCTTGGAACTAGCCCCTCGTCTTCCCAGCTTACGCCTCCCTCTCCTCCCCAACAGTTTTCCAATATACAAACTCTATGGCTATAGATGGCTTTATATGACTATAAAGGAGCCACAGAAGGGAGGTTTTAGGGTGATGGAACCATCTGGATCCTGATCATGGGAGTTTCCACAATCGATATAATGTCTGACATTCACAGAAGTGTGCGCCTCCTCCCTACCTTAGCTGCGTTCTGTCCTGATGGAAAAGAAGTACCAATAAACCCCCAAGCCCTACCGACTGTATTTTTTTTTTCAAAATCTTGTTCCTTTATGAAAACGTCAGACTCCTGTGTGATTTCCTTCTGCCCAGTGCCCTCACACAGCTCGTGAGTTCACCCACTCAGCAAACCTCAGTGGAAATGTCTGGATCAAGTATGATGCCTCTTCTGAGAACTGCAGGGAAGAAGAGGAGGCAGGGGCTCCTGCTGTGCTTTTAGGGTGTTGAGAGCAGGCACAGAATCAGAGCAGGCCATCTTGTGATGTGAGGGGCACAGGGCTGTCGAGATCTGCTCGTATCCTTGTCTCTGAATGTCACCCATGCAACACTCCTGGTTGTCCTCAACAGGCTGCTCGTCCGTCATCTCTGCCCACACTTATGTCAGCCAGCGCTTAAAGTGCCTATGAGATAAAGCCGGGTCAGGCGAGAATACACACGCTGCCTTCCATTGCCAGTAAACCGTGCCCCCTGAGTAGCGCTGATGGAAAGTTTATGTGTATTGAAAAATTAAAAGATGGGAAAACTTTGTTGAGCCCTCCTTTAAAGCTAGTCCTAACTTTCCTGCTTCAGTGAAAATTAAAGTCAGGTGTATCGGTGCGGTACACGTGTGCAGGAGTGCTATACTCACATGTCCCGTGTGCACTAAAGCTAGTTTATGACGTTGACAGACACAAAGCCCCACACAGTGAGCCCGGCCCTCCCGGCCTCCTCCTCTTCTTCTCTGGCATATTTGGGGGCTGTGATGTCCAGTTGGACAGAATACTTCGGCCTGGTAACTCTTTTACCCACAGCGGTTCCCATTCATACCTACATATTGCGAGTCAAATGTTTCTAAATCTTAACATCTGCGTCTGCGCACTCCTTGCCAGCCATCAGATAACTAAGTTTAATGGTTAAATCCTCTTTGCATGGAGAGATTTTTCCTTTCCTTCTTCTTAAAGAAATCATGTTCCTGAAAGGATTGCCCATTGTCTGTCCTTGTTCCATTAAAGAAAAATGCAATCTCATGGCAATATATTTGTGGAGACTGGAGAGCGTAGTGGATGAATTTATATTTGGCCATATTCAGCATAGAAAGTCATAATTGAAACAGGGCCTGAGGGGACATTAAAACACAACGGAGGGATGTTGCACATGTTCATGGCGACTTTGGTGTCATTAGCTCACACCAGACACTTTAAATGGATAATTTATGCTGCCAGATGGTCCTTTTTGGGGATTTTCCATCAAGCCCAATCCCCTTTTTGGCACAGAGAACACCTTTATGTTGTTCCCACACTTATCCGGGCCTACATAGCTTTTCCCCAGGGGTACAGTTAATTAAGTGGGAGGCTTTTAGTGGTTCACTCATGTAAATTGCCTTCAGAAATATGTTGGGAATTATGTATATCCAAATGCATGGGCAGCCTGCGCTTGGGATAATTCTCTCCAACAAGTATGAAGGGCACTGGGTGTATGCTTCTGGTGTGACACAGGAAGCGAGGTCATCCTCATACTCCCCTCCCGAGAGCTCGGCCTCTGGGATAGGCCTCCCTGGGTTTCCGGGGCTCCCTAACTACAGAGGCCTGAAGGTGGCCAGAAGAGACTTCCCTCAGCAACAGGAAGATGGTGAGAAGTGAATCTGTGCAGACTTCCGGTAAATCACACACATGTTTTTCAAATGGCTCATCTCAGCACTTCCGGCGCCCGACTCTGCCTGTCTGTGCAGCAGCCCACAGGCCAGGATGCTAGTCTGAAACGCTAGGCAGTCTCGGGGCTGGCTTCTTCTCAGTGCTCCATGCGTCCCTCCGCTTGGTTTCGTTCCCCAGTTGTCTCACAACTTGGTAGAACCGGATCTGGATCTGGTCGTGCACTGTGATGTGGGCCCTGTGGAATTCTGTCCGTCATAACTCACATCCCGTCGATGGCTGTGCAGTCACACAAGTGACAAGTCGGCCATGAGAGGATGATGCAAATGATTAGGAAGGGCTGCGGCAGGCGGTGCTCCCTGGGCTGAGGCAAAGTCCTAGCTGTGCCTGTGTTTTTCAGTTAATGTTCTTTACAATGTGCAGACTCTGGTGTTGTCTGTCTGTCTGTCTGTTTGCTTGTTTGTTTGTTTTGAGAGCAGCTTGCCTACCCACACTGATGGTGTGTCTGTGGCCAGGATCTGTCTTTCAAACCAAAGTAGATGCCAAGATATAAGCTCCCTTCTGTATTTAACCTCTTTAGCCATGATCACTTAAGCTAATGTTTCAAGGTCTTGTGTTCCAGACTCATAGTTAAGTTAAAAATATCACAATAAAAATTGTAAATGACTCACTAAAAAGATCTGGAAATTCCCCGTTTTCCTTATCTCAAACTCTTATCATGGAACCTAGGTCAGGAAAAAAAGTAGATATGAGCTACTAAATACACATGGAACAATATATAGGCAAAGTATTAACTGTTAATGATGAAATATCTGTCACATCATCCAGAAAATCAAATAATCCTCAGTATTTAGAACTTACTCAAATGCTATGTCGGAGAGGCCCTGTGTCCACCATCTCTGCCTTCATAGCCTCTCTTTTCCTTACCCATGCTCCCTCTCGTCTCCCCTTAGGATGTGCCCTCCATCAGAGTGTAACTTAGTCTGTCTTTTACACTGCTGTATCCCTAAAACCCACAACAGTGTGTCGAACATGATAGGTGCTCAATAAATATTGACTGAATGAGTGAATGAAGCAGAGAGATGGGAGCTTTCTTATATACTTGACAGCAGAATTTGCTGCCAGCAATCCTCTAAAAACTGGTATTTCCTATATTCTTAACCTGCAGGCTTCCAGTCAAATCTAATTACTGGCAAATAGTAGAAAAAATAATTGCTGAGACTCAGCCAAGCATCTCATTGATCAGTAGTAGGCATCAAACTATTCCAACTACCCTTCTCCTTAACGGGGTTTCCTTTAAATAAACCAGATACTTTTTAAAAGGTAATTGAAAAGAATAGTGCTTATTGGCAATTAGGGTGGAAAGGAGGAAGTGACGATGGAGGGGACAGTGGTCAATACCTAGGACGTCACAGTAAAATAGGAAACTACACATTGTCACACAGAAAAGTTGCTACATCCAAAGATATGCTACATGACATATGATGATAATGGTACAGTCAGTGATATCTATATCTCAAAATAACCCAAAGTGAGGAGTTTAAATGTTCCTATTACAAAGAAATGATCATCATTTGAGGTGATAGAGGCACTAACTTCCCTGACTTAGTGAGTGGGCAGTGTGTCCATGCATCAAAACACTATACTTTTCCTCCATAAATATGCATAGTTATTTGTCAATAAGATTTAGTTCTATATTATTTTTAAGAAAATTATAAAACATAATGCTTGATGGGTGAGGCCTGTATCATGGAGCTCAGTGGTGCTCTGTTTTTCTGAGGTGTTGTAGATAGTTGAGATTACCTGGTTTGGAGCGTGCTCTCTCCGTTTAGATCATCCCCCTGCTTCACTAGTGCAGGACATCTCTATTCTCCCTTCTCCCTTTTTCTCATATCCAACCATGTATGTACCATACATATGTACTGAGCCGCTGAGGACCTGCAGTCAGCTCCGCAGAAAGTGTCTCGGAAATGCGTCGGAGACCAGCCAGATCTCGGAGTCTGAGAGTCCCCGCTACAGCTGTGGGTCTTGCCCAGCTTACCTGAAAGGCAGTTGCCTTTAAACGTTATGC